TGGGTAAAGTAAATCTTATTATCCTTCCCTGATGGGATTCTTCGAATATTTTCATCAGTTCACAAACTCTGAAATAGTTTTACGTTCACCAACAAAATAATTTTAAAAATGTCTTTCTGTCTTATTCTACTGAGGAACTAGTCACAACAAAATCTATTTCTCGAATCTTTATATCTAAGCAAACAGATGTCGTAGACCTTTGATATTTCAAACTAAGAATTCTGCTAACACAAATAGTTAAAGTTTAAAGCATTAAAGGTTTACATCATCAGGTGTTAAGGATAAGGGAATTAGAAAATAAGAGTTTTCTAAAAGTTATTAGATTTATTCATTTAGCTGTAAAATTATCTTATTGTATACTGATTTTACATTCTGATTTCAGATTGTTTTGAATAAGATTTAGTTGTGAGTGTCATAGATCTTTATTTGATGAAATAACTTATATTTGGGTTCACTCATGCACTCACATTCAATATAATGCATTTCAAGTAAAGTTTAACAATTGTTCTTAACTTTAACATTCTTCAGTTTATCTAACTTTAGTATAAAATCAAGATGCAATTCTCTTAACAAGACGACTTCATGAATTATAAATAAGAAAAGGGTCGGAAATTTCCAATCCAGGGATCAAAACTTTTAAAGAAAATCAAACTTAGGTTCACATAAGAACCAGAATAGTAGTCGTATTGAAGCCAAGGTTCTCAAAGAAGCCTCACTCAAAGTTCGAATTAAAACCTCACTCAAGGTTCTTATTGAAACCAAACTCAAGGTTTTATTGAAACCTCACATATGGCTCTTATTGAAACCTTACTCAAGGTTCTTTTTGAAACCTAACTCAAGTTTTTATTGAAAACTAACTCAAAGTTCTTAAAACCTATCTCAAGGTTCTTGAAGAAAAATCACTCAAAGTTCGTATTAAAACCTAATTCAAGGTTAAACCTGTTGCGCGACTGAATCGTCACGTTCTAAATTCCCTCGCCCTTGATTTGGTCGAAAAAAAAACAAAACCTCACTCATGACTCTTTTTGAAGCCTTACTCAAAGTTCTAAATGAAACCGCACGTAAGGTTCTTTTTGAAACCTAACTTAAGGTTTTTATTAAAAACTAACTCAAGGTTCTTATTGAAACCTATCTCAAGGTTCTTATTGAATCCTATCTTAAGGTTCTTATTAAACCTATTTCAAGGTTCTTAATGAAACCTATTTCAAGGTTGTTAATGAAACCTTAATCAAGGTTTTTTTGAAACCTAACTGAAGGTTTCTAATTGAAACCTCAATCAAAGTTATTATTAAAACCTAACTCAAGGTTCTAATTGAAACATCAATCAAAGTTCTCATCAAAACCTTTCTCAAGGTTCTTATTGAAACTTATCTTAAGGTTCCCATTAAAACCTATCTCAAGGTTTTCATTGAAACCTATCTCAAGGTTCTTATTGAAACCTATCTCAAGGTTCCTATTGTACCTATCTCAAGTTTTTTATTGAAACCTTTCTCAAGTGTCTAATGATAACCTATCTCAATGTTCTAATTAAAACCAATCTCAAGGCTCTTATTAGAACTTTGATCACCGTGTTTAACTCATATATGTAGGTCTTGGCATCGTTATAAAAAATGATCGGAAAAATTATTGTTTGTTTTGGATTTTTCAATACTAACTAACATTCTTCTAAAAACTTTCATAACTTGTTTCATCCCTTTCAAAAACGATATTTTTCATAAACGATCGTTTTGTATTCTGATTTTTTTACATCGTTAACAAAACGAATAATAAATTGTTCTTATGGTTTTGTGTAAAACTAGACCTAGAGGTGTCAAGCCCAGAAGCCATTAGTATCATTCTCTCCACATTATATGGAACCTGGAATAGTTGTATTAAAACAAATTTAAATAAAAAGATTAATATTTTTAGTTGAATTAGTAAAAACACATAATACTATTATATTATTAAAAAATTAGGGACTCTGTTCTGTTCTTTACCTAGTTTTTAGACCTTGCCAACTTTATACCTAATTTTAATGAGAAAAACTTATATGAGAAATAGTTCGTTTTATAAATTCTATAGACGTGATTCATCTATAGCTTATCTAAGAAATGGTCTTTTCTCTACCAAATCCTATAGACATTTGAGAACTAATCTGAAACATTTCCCTTCTGTACCTTATTCTATGGTTTGTTCTATACCCAACCTATGATGTGGTCTGTTCAATACCTAATCTAAGACTTGCTCAGTTCTATAAGGAAGCTGCCATTTTAGAACTAATCTGAAACATTGTCCCTACCATGACATGGTTTTTTTCTATAAAGCTCCATTAAGCTTTTTTTTTACTTTTTTTAACATTACAAATAAATCTATAATTTTTATTTCTAAAAGTTATTAGTTCATCGTCGAAAAATACTAACAATCCACCACTAATTTAAATATAGTGTAGACAATAAATATGTAACTTTCCTTAACCTTATCCTTTCCTTTTCCTTTTATTTCTATTTTTATAGTTTTTTAGAATTGGGGGGAAATATTCCCACAACCTCTACTTTTGGAAATTTTTAAATATTTTCTCCTGAAACACTTTATTTTGTATGTTTTTGTTATATTTCATAAATAAATAATTTTTTACTTTACTTTACTTTTACCTAATCTAAGACATAGTTTGTGCTTTGCCTAATTTAGGATGTAATTTGTTCTATACCTAAGAAATGGTCAGTTCTATACCTAAATTAATATGTGGTCCATTATATATTACTTGTCTAAGATTTGGTCCGTTCTAAACCTAATTCTAATTTCTATGATGAATTGTGAGAACTAAGAATATTTCAGCAAACCATGGAAATCCATTGAATTGCATGGATTAGCACGCTGAAAGGAATTTAACAGGATAGAAAGGATTTCTGGGGATTAAATGGATTGAACAAATTTAATGGATATTTTATATGTTTAAGATTTTCTTCAAATCTAAATTATACTTTAAATGCTGTTTGAAAGAGAAAATTTATAGATTTTAAATAGTAGGGTTATAGGACAAATAACATTGCATATATAAGGTTCTGTACTTTTATTGAATCTGGATATTTCATAACCCTGAAAAGGCCGTAGGAGGGGGTAATGTGATTGTTTCAAAAATAAAAACAGTATGTGCATACCCCTCCCAACACAGCACTGTCCCCACTGGTTTAACAAAAATAAAAACAGTATGGGTTTACTCCTCCCAACACAGCACTGTCCCGCTGGTTTAACAAAAATAAAAACAGAATGGGTATACTCCTCCCAACACAGCACTGTCCCCACTGGTTTAACAAAAATAAAAACAGTATGGGTATACTCCTCCCAACACGGCACTGTCACCACTGATTAACAAAAATAAAAACAGTATGGGTATACTCCTCCCAACACGGCACTGTCCCCACTGGTTTAACAAAAATAAAAACAGCATGGGTATACACCTCCCAACACAGCACTGTCCCCACCGGTTTAACAAAAAGCTTTATAGAGCAACAAAGAATTTGATTTCATTTGTTTAAAGCCTCCTTTTCAAATTGAAGAGCACTCCCTTGGATGGATTTGAAAAGTATTAAAGAAAATAAGTTCAGACATATCTGCCCAAACTTGAAAACTTTTCAGAGGACTTAGTTTAAAATAAATATAAGAGATGAAAAACTTTTTAAATAAAAGTTTTTATTATTTTAAATTGTATAAACTACAAAATTCACCCCAAAGCACTTCTTTCAAAGAATGATAAAATGAGATTAATTGAGTTCAATATAATTTTAATTAAATACATTTTCATATCAAAGTAAAAACATTTCAGTTTATTTTTAAAAAGAAAAATGTCATCCTGATTTTTATTCTTAATTTATAATTTTCACTTATCTTGGGGGAGAAGGGAGGGGGGAGATGGGAGCGGGAGTAAAAATAAATAGAAGGGTAGAGTAGTTTTGATTGTCAACTTAGAACGAAATAAATTATTCTTCTCCTTAACTTTCTGATTCATATATGTAGTTCCACAATCTAATGTTAATTCTGGTTTGGTTTTTACTCAATAAACATAGTAAAATCTTCCTCTGAATAATGCTAAATGAAAAAGAAACATAAAAAATTTGGCCGGATCTTAAAAAATCCAAATATTGGGATTCACAAGGTATGAAAAAATCTTTTTTTTACCTAATTATGTACGACCCATCATATACCTGAATATCCATAGCTGTTGCCCAGGACTGCAGGACCTCCTCACTACAACAATAAACAGGTAAAAATAAAAATCTATTTTTTTATAAATTGAAAAAGAAATTCGGTCTTGCTGAGAGAATTTACTTATGTTAATTATATTTAATAAGAGAGTAATGTTCTAAAAATTAAACTTTAGGGATTAGAGTCCACAATTAGTTTAATATCATTTGTTATTTTCATGGTAAACTGCAAGTGTAAATCTATTTTTAATTTTTTTTATCTTTTAAATTCAAGACAGTTAGTCAGATGCAATTTGCTAAACATTTATCTAGTTTTCGGTTTGCTAAATGATAAACACTTCTGTGACAACTATTTGAGAGTTTGTGCACAATTTTAATAAAATATTTTAAAACTTTAAAACAAAAACAATATTGTTATGTTTGCTTTAATAAGCTAATGAAACCTGAGTGAAAAATCTCCAGTCTGTAGAGTTCTGTGAACTATATCATTAGGAGTAACTGCGGCAACCAGATCTACTGGCAACCCCATCTCCCGAGCAACATATCCAGCTAATAATACAATATTAACCCTATTTCTTCTGGACAGGGACGATACTCAAAGGTAGGGGGGGATGCAGCAACAAGATCTACTCGTAACACCATCTCCCAAGCAACATATTGAGCTAATAATAAAATATTTAACCCTATTTGTTCTGGACAAGGAAGATACCCAAAGGTAGGGGGGGATGCAGCAACAAGATCTACTGGTAACCCCATCTCCCGAGCAACATATCCAGCTAATAATACAATATTTAACCCTAGTTGTTCTGGACTAGGAAGATACCCNGGGGGTAGAGCTTCAGAAACAAGATCTACTGGCCTGGAGGAGGAGGGGGGGTTATTTTTCACACTTTGTTCAACCCTTAATAAGGCCCCTGTGTAAAAAAAATGTCAAAAATGAAGGTATTCTGTACACTGTCTTTTATAGTTGTAAAAGGAATAACGATCTATGACAGTTCAGTGAATAACATTGAGATTTATATTCTCAAATATTTCTATGTTGAATATTTTGAATTATGAGTCCGCATACAGGGAGGGCTTATACAATATATTTCATCATTTTTTTTTCTGCAGATATGATTGCTTGGTAGAAACGCAGCTATTGGGAACAAAAATGAATATTAGTAAAAAAATAAAACACATATTGTATGATGGTTTAGCTAAAAACAAATAAAATTTAATCTGAGCCAATTAAAAATATTATTTTTTAATATTATTTTTTTTAATCGGTATTTGTTGAAACCACCGTTTCATATTGAAATCACAAATGAATATACATTTATTAAACAAAATGGCCGTAAGTGTAAACTTTTCTAGCAGCTGCATTTCTTGTAATCCTTTTTCGACTAAAATATCTCCAAACCCTATTTATAGTTTTTCTTTAAAATAAAAACCTGCAATATTTCCACAAGCTCCAGTTGGAATAATGATCTCCACCCTATCTCCTGGTTTCTCAACCATCTGGTAGTAACAGTAGAAGTAGTGACTGCAGTACAATTGGTTTAACAATGCAGTACATTAGGTTTTACTTGATGCACGTCCTCAATTAAGCTTTTGGTGCATTTTTTCTATATTTAAAAATATAAAATGACTAAAACATAGTGCTGGAGAAATCAATGAAAAATTGTTAATCTTTCCTGATCTGAACCAAGATCCGTGCCCAGTTTATACTAAACGGCAAGCATTAGACAAGCTAGTAAAACGGGACCAGAAAACTATGAAATAGAACTCTGTGATCTTGCCAGGCTAAATATTGTGCATAAAACGTGCTGGGTTAGCTCTTCACTGCCCACCTAACAGAACTGGATGGAACAACTAGTATTAAAAGATACATACTGTAACTGGGTTTAAAGATGAATTTGATACTGTAATAGTTGCAATCTTTTTTATAAAATAAAATTAATTTTTGTGTCTTTTTCTTGTGTATTATTGTTTTTCATTGAAGCCTTTTAACTTTTTCATAAATTGCATTTTTGCGCATAATCTTCTGAATCAGATAAAATAAAATAAAATAGAAAAAAGTTTTTTTTGTTGAAAGATATTGTATCTTGTTAAACTGTTATAGAGATAAGTTGTGGTGTATCTGCAGTATTGCAATTTATTATAGTTTTATACCTTGTAAAAACCATTAATAGTTGTAAATCATAAATTATAGTAATAATATATATATATATCATGTAATAATATATATTTACGAGAATAAAGCATGATTTATTACAGGTAAATGTTCAGTTAAAACGTTCTGTAATGAATTTCTTCTTAATATTTTATTTTCATCTTTCCACATTAAAACTAAAGTACAAAGATGTTCTTCAAAGGGTTAGACGTACTTATAATAGTTAAATTCTTTACTCGGTGTATGTCCCAAAAAAAAATTCTTTATTCCGCGCTGATTATTTTGGGAAAATTATTTAGTATCCCATTTAAAACATTTAATATCAAACAAAATGTGTCCAAAATGTTCAAAATTCAATATCAAATTATTAAATTTAAAGATAATAAGGACAAAGACCATACATTGAACAGACAATTCCCCTGTATAATTTCCAAATATAACAATTGTTACTTTTTCATAAAAATAAATGATAAAGAAAATATTAAATAAAGAGTGGTGTATTAGACTGTTTTGTCTTCCAAGTTCTTGTCAGAAAATTATGTATGGAGACATTACGTATATTCATATATAAAGAAAATGAATAAATATTATTATTTTCAAGATAATGTTAAAATCATATTTTTTGTAATTTTGTTTAAAAGGACAGACTGGCTATGTAAGGTAGTTGAACTGAGTATGCAATATTGTAGACAAATTCTTCAGAATTTATTTGAGACATATAAAACTTTTTAAAGATCTGTATATCCTGAGTTTGAGTCGGCGTTCAAAATCGTACTTTTGGTTGGATACGTTTTCAGAATTGTTTTTTAAAATATTAAATAACGACGACAAAAAATGTAAACAAAATTCTACAGTAAACTAAATAGTTGTTTAGGAACAGGTTCAGAAAAAAAAATTAATCTTATCATCGAAAATACGTAATCTTGTTCAATCATTAGTTTCTATTTTCTCATTATTCACAAAGATTTTCTGCAGTTTCTAGAATTATTTTTGAAAAGACGACATTTGAAGAATTTTTAGAAATCTGCGAACAAATTCATAGAAAATAAGAAATTCATAATAATGATAAAAACGAAATAATTGATTCCAGCGTTGATTTATTAACAATTTCTTTTGAGAAACCATCTAATTAGTTTACTATGTAATTTTTACTTTATTTTTCGTCGTCGTTATTTAACAATAGTTTGCAGTGAATGAACCGGAGTTTACAGTGGATGAACCGCAGTTTACAGTGAATGAACTGGAGTTTACAGTGAATGAACCAGAGTTTACAGTGAATGAACCGGAGTTTACAGTGAATGAACCAGAGTTTACAGTGAATGAACTGGAGTTTACAGTGAATGAACCAGAGTTTACAGTGAATGAACCAGAGTTTACAGTGAATGAACCGGAGTTTACAGTGAATGAACCTGAGTTTACAGTGAAATAACCGGAGTTTACAGTGAAATAACCGGAGTTTACAGTGGATGAACCAGAGTTTACAGTGAATGAACAGGGAGTTAACAGTGAATGAACCGGAGTTTACAGTGAATTAACCGGAGTTTACAGTGAAATAACCGGAGTTTACAATGGATGAAGCAGAGTTTACAGTGGATGAACCGGAGTTTGCAGTGAATGAACCGGAGTTTACAGTGAATGAACCAGAGTTTACAGTGAAATAACCAGAGTTTACAGTGAAATAACCGGAGTTTACAGTGAAATAACCGGATTTTACAGAGGATGAACTGGAGTTTACAGTGAATGAACCAGAGTTTACAGTGAATGAACCGGAGTTTACAGTGAATGAACTGGAGTTTACAGTGAATGAACCAGAGTTTACAGTGAATGAATCGGAGTTTACAGTGAATGAACCTGAGTTTACAGTGAAATAACTGGAGTTTACAGTGAAATAACCGGAGTTTACAGTGGATGAACCAGAGTTTACAGTGGATGAACCAGAGTTTACAGTGAACCAGAGTTTACAGAGAATGAACCAGAATTTACAATGAATGAACCGGAGTTAACAGTGGATGAACCAGAGTTTACAGTGGATGAACTGGAGTTTACAGTGGATGAACCGGGGTTTACAGTGAACCAGAGTTTACCGTGAAATAACCGGAGTTTACAGTGGATGAACCGGAGTTTACAGTGAACAAACCGGAGTTTACAGTGAACCGGAGTTTACAGTGAATGAACCAGAGTTTACAGTGAATGAACCTGAGTTAACAGTGGATGAACTGGAGTTTACTGAACCACAATGTTCAAACACATGAAACTGAAGAAAATTGTACATAAGAGTTAAATCTTTAAATTGACTTTTGATATACAACTACTTAAAATAAATACTAAATGCGTTACTAGGTCACAGTTAGTCGTAAAAGTGATTTAGATTTAACTTTCTAGTTTTCAGTGCAAAATATCTGAAATCTAACTAAAAGTAAACAAAAAGTGTATATCTGAGCTTGTTTTCCTATTGATAGAACAAAGATTATGTTTCTCCACATAATCAGCATCAGCAAACACAGCTTTGATTGGAACATCAAGATCATCAGAGGTTCCGTCTACACAAAAGTTGTGAACATTATCCTCAAGAACTGTGGTCATTTGTAGTTCCTGGATCATGGTACATCGACCCTAGAATTAAACTCAAGTTTAGGAAAGCAAAGTCTGATTTTCTTGTCAGAAGCATGTGCTAAAAATCTTCAGAGCGTGCATATCGAATTTTAAAATTGCCAGAATTTCGCAAGTTTGATCATGTTGGAAAAAGAAATTTTAACATTTTGGACGTTTGATGAAACAGATGTTCTCAGCAAGTGTAAAAAATAAAAAATTCCACAGAAAATTACAATAAAAAGTTTTAACATTCTATAATCAAATTTTAAATAATTTTTTTTCTAAATGGCACTTTAATTGACACAGAGAAGTGCAGAACACACCTTGGGTAGAAGAACAACAACATCGACCCACTCCAGGCCTCGTACTGCACTGATAGCTGCACTACCTGTATCGCCAGATGTTCCAATCAGAACAGTCATATGCTTCTGCGCTCTAAATTAGTTTAAATCTGTTAAATCAAAATTAGTTTATATTTTTAATAGAAAAATTTAATGTTCCGTCTTGGAAATGAAATTTCATTTCTTTTTTTGTATTTTCAACATTTCTTTTTTTGTATTTTAAAAATCATCAAGGAAATCATTTTAATCATTACATATTAGTTTATAAGACTTAGAAAACAAACATGAAGATATGTGATAAATAGAGCTAAGTTTAAATGTACCCCCCCCCCCTCGCTGTGCTTGCCATACAAGGGTTAAGATATGATTCATGTAAGTTGTAAAACGTTTTCAAAATGTCTAGTTTTAGGCCCGTTGCTGAATAATTAGAAATAAAATAATAAAATGCCCTTTAGACCAATTGTAACCCTAATTTATAGTTAATTAGTTAACAGTCATCAACACTGTTACTCCTAATTTTGTGTATGGAACTACTTGAAATAGTAATGTAAAAGATATCTAATTATAATTTAATTATTTTATAAACTTTTTCATAGGTAGAACCCCCCTCTATATGTAGTTTATAAGAGTGACCTGACACCTTAATGGAATAAATAATAAATAAATAAAACTAATATTTGGTTCTTTGTCAATAAATGGAACGCTTTCTAGAATGACACAAAAAATAAAATAAACACTTTTCCTTTCTGCTAAATCTTTTTTTTATCAAAATTAGGTTATTGTGTACAATTTTTTCTCATTTCAAGAAATGGTTTGTACACAGAAAAGTAAAATTTATACGAACTCTGAGAACTCTGAACAGTGCTGATTTTGTTTACACCAAGAAAGGTTTTAAGGATGTACACTTCCATATCTTTGTTTACAAAAAGCTTAAGTTTCTGAACAAACTTGACCTGAACAGCAATGAGTTTGTTTAATTCTACCCAAGATTACAGGGGCGTACGTGGGGAGCGGCCTCTCCCTACGCGTGCCCCCCCCCCCTGAGGGGGGGCACCCATATAAAAAATACTTTAAAATCTCACTTTTGCCCTTATAACTAAAACACTTCATCAAAAAAGCTTTAATTAATACTTCAGTTGAGTGTAAATTTATCTTTGATATCATTATTCATAATTATATAATATATATCGTTTCTATGAAAATATGGATATTTTTCAAAAACTATATTTTTCTTTAACCCTATATAGGCTGGGGGGTCTGAATCTATGTATAGCCAGGGGGGGCGTTTGGAGCCCCCCCCCCCCCTAAAAAAATAGGTATAGGGTTGAAATGCATGTTCATAGCCCAATTTTTGATGGCCAGCTCAAAAAAAAAAAATTAGACCGATAACTTTAATAGTTTGGGTGCTAGGGAGGGTGGACAAAAATTCCTTACAAAAAATGCCTAAAAAAAGGGTAAAAAAATGTAAAAAATAGCGTGACACATGTTTCTACATGCATTTTTCAAGGGCTTTTCAAAAATATAGATTTTAGATCTGTAGCTTTAGTCATAAAAAGTTGTTTTCACAGACTGAATTTTTTCCCTATAAATTAAAAAAAAATATTTTCTTGACAAAAGTTTCTTTAAATTACTATTTATTAAAAGTCACAAAATTTCATGGTGATAGTGACAAAAATGAGAGTGCTAGGACAAACAAACTACCCAGCCTGTTTAGGGTTAAAACAAACTACCCAGCCTGTTTAGGGTTAAAACAAGCTAAAATAGCTAAAATGAAAAATTTAAATTCGTTATCAATCATTTGCAATTTATGGATAAGTCAGACCATTAAAACAAACAACTTCTAAATCACACTGAACAAACTGATTTTTCTAAGGAACTTTTTGAAATAATGATTTTTCATACGAACTAAGGAACTGAAGAATACTTCAATTAAACGATCTCAGTTAGAAAAAGAACAAAATATAAGGAAAATGAACGATACCTCTGAAAAAGAACAAATTCAATTTTTTTAAAAACAAATGTGTCGTAAACGAACAATAAACCAACGAATTGAAAAAAGCCCAACAGCCCATCTCTATCTGTCCTAGCCTAGATAAATCATCATCTTGAAACGGGGCACAAGTTTTTTTTAGAAAAAACAAAACGAAAGAAAATAATAATCCTGAAAGTACACAAAGTTCAAAAATAAGATAAAGAAAAACCTAATTAAATTATTCACAAAAACTTTGCAGAACAGGTGGTTATTTTACCTGATTGACCCAAGGTACATTGAGTATCTTAACGTCCCTCTGTTGGGGAAATCATAGGTTGGTAATGTTGGTGGAAATGTGGTGATATATTCCAACTAAGAAGGAAGATAATTACCTAGCTAGGAAATATTCATAAAGCTGACCAACCACACATAAGGCAAGGTCCTGAAAACAAGGGTTCAAATTCTAGGGACATTAGTTCACAAACTTGATTCGGCCCATTTTTAGACTTTGCAATTATATTTTTGAATTAAAATTCGTTAACTTTGTCCAAACTTTATATTTTAAATAATTTGAAGCTCTGCTGTTATCTCTCATAGGCTTTAGGTATATTTTGATATTTTTGATTACTGATTTGAGCAAATAACCTCTAATCGATTTATTTTTGGATCCTTAGATATATCCTAAAAGATTTAACTTAATCCGTTGGACTACAAAATATTATTTTAAAATCAATTTCAATCTTTACAACATAACCCCTCCCCCTCATCTGTGTTTAATAATAATGTTTAACACACACGATAAAAGAAACCAAAAGCAAAAATTTGTGCTTCAAAGAGTTTCAATTAAATTATTTGCAAATTGTTATTTTCTCTAATCGTGTTTGATGCATTATCTTCCAGTCCTGATAATCTGACATCAATTGCATAACTATACTTAGATAAATGTCTACAAAATTTTAAACTTTAAATTATTTTGAATCAATTCCATAACATTCTTAACTAAAGAAGTATATTAAAGGGACTGTAAGGATTATTTGCTAAGATGTATAACGGTACCCTTAAAGCTTTATCTCATCTAGTATGCATTAGACATTAGATTTTGTTTATTTAAAATTTTTGTTTTCTTATTTGTGATTTCTCTGCAAAAGTGTGCATTTCTTTCTTATAGGTGACACTGGAGAACTTTAAACACGTTTTTCGAGTAAGAAAAACGACGTTAAATTTCAAGCTTTTGATCAGATTAAGGTTTCAAGGGTTCTGTCATTTATCGACCAACGCTATCTTTGCCTGGAATATGCTTACAGTCCCTTTAAAGGGACCATTCAGTTATTTGGGTATTTTCAGGGTAAACTAAACAGCCTATTTGCTGTTGATTGGTATTAGTCTTACTTTTCAAAGACAACTGTGGCCGGAGAAAAAGCCATTTTTTGTTCAAAATTCGAGCTCAAAGGTATGGTAGAAAAGAGACTAATCACCAAGTCATCAAGTAAGATTGGCCATTACCTTAAAGGCTAGAGTTGGTCCATGAAAGAGTTCTGCGACAGCAATATTATTTTTCAATCTAGCAATCTGTATTGGAGTTGTGGGATCCCGGAAACTAATGAAGGCATTCTCAATCAGCTTATCTAAACACATTACATATACAGTATAAAGGGACAGTAATTAAAGTGATCAGCGATTATATTATTACAATGAAGACGATTTTTATTAATTTTATTTATAATGCTTTGATTCCTAACTTGCATTTTTCAAATCACAAGGTGACAAGTAAACAAAGAGAAGCTGTTAATTGACAACTTTTTGTGTCTCTGCTGTTTGAAAGATTGGTAGAAATCAAAATGAAGATAGAAAGTTGTCTCAATTGTATACGATGACGAATTGTAAAGTAGAAGGACTTTGTAATTTATGTAACTGCAAAAATGTCCAGAGGTTGAAAGTGGAACTTAACATACAACACGCAAAATTGCTGCTATAGTGATTGTAAATTTTACCTGGTTCAGCTCAGATTCAAATGTACATGAGTTGAGTATGACAAGACAACGTTTTAACTTTTATATTTATTGATTTATTGCTAAATCTGTTTAAAATAGCAAACTCATAGTTTTCAATCTCTCAGTAACTTAAAGAGATATCCAGGGGGAAAATCACTTGGACGACAATAGATACGATTCAGTCCTTAGAAGATTCGCATTAAATAGCTCCAACCTTCTTACAAAAAATCCATGGATACTAGATTACGAGCTACAAAATTTCTTACTAAATTAAAAGCGAAGACAATAATATTACATATATCAATTATATTAACGATTTAACCCAAATATGCATAAATTACTTTCATACTTTAATATATTGGAAAGGTGGAATAAAGGGCTTGGTTTTATCTTGACATAAAAGTTGAATAAAATATCTCCATACATATATAATAAGAATTTTTATAGAAATCCTTCTCTTTTTGGTACTTTTTCATTGATTTCCGTGAATGCTAGTTTCAAGCAAATTGCTGTTCAACCCCGGAAGTATTTTTATGATAAAAGGATCTGTAATGGCTCTTTTTAATAAAAAGGAGTCATGCCTGATTCACAACAGTACCTTCTTAACCTATCCTGATCAAGAATGAATGAGATATCTTTGTTTTTATAGCTGATATTTTCAATGTTGGTACCTCAATCAAAGTAACTTGTGGATTTAAGCTTCAGAGTAAAAAATCTAATTTTTGTTAGAGGCAAATTTTTGAAAATTTGATCATCCATAAACCTTCCATGGGGTGATGTGAGGTCCCACAAAAAATATTTGGCCCGATCCGTTTAGCCGTTTTTACGTTTATTGGACACATACAAACAAACAGGCAGACACCCAGACAACAAAGTAAATAAATAGATTACCTAACTCCAGCGACGGAATCTCGTCTTGATGGATGAATAGTTTCATAATTTGTTTAACTAGATCAGGGTAGGATAGAGTAGACCAGGAGCTGATCAGTCCTGGGGGTAGAGCAGGGACACTCTCAGGGAAATACAAACCTCCATCCTTGTTTCAGAATTTTTTTATTTTAAATGTAGAAAATGTAGAAAATATCATAGATGGATCCAATTTTTAAAAATTTTAGATATATTTCACAATCAAAAAATCGTTTACAAAAAAATAATCCTAGTTGTACAAAATTTTGAACTTTTCTTTAATTACCTTTGCATAGCCTGAGAAGAGAACTTTTTGAAAGGATAAACCTTTCTCTGCTCCTCTAGAACTCATGTACTTCATTTTATCTAGAATTCTGAAATACACAAAATTACTTGGCTGTCATGGCGGTCATGGTGTGCCCGTCTGACTTTTTTGTTCCAACCTGGCTTCTATGCTACAGAGTGAGAACCAGAAAACTGTGGAAAAGGAAAACAACATTGGAGCAATAATGAAGTATATTTCAAGTTGTTACAAAGCAATGTAGTTATACGAGTAACATATTAAATCGTTTATTACATATAAAGTGAAAAGGTTTTCTTTACACTGCACAATTGCTGTGTCTCATGTTCATTGAAATATTTAAATCTTAATCTTAATCTAAAAGTCATCTTTCTATTCCGCAGTTTTATGGTTTTCACTGTAGCAAACAAATCCGATAATTATCAAATTTTTAAATCTAGGAGGGGCGGGGTCGGTAATTTCTTTCCATTGGTCGGATCTGAAGTTGACTGCATTTAATACAATGTGAATGTAAGAAAGTGTGCACTATTCTGCTGTATGAGAAATATAATTGTGATTCATAAATCTTTTCTTTAGAACAGAATTTGAAACTTTTTTTACAGGACAGAGCACTAATCTACATGACTCAAATGTACTTTTCAACAGCAATTAGGTACTTAATCCGTGAAAAAAAATAATTCTAAAAGATCAGATCTACTGAATTAACTAGACTTTTCTACAAGAAAATATCTACTGAATAAGGCTTTTCTACAGTGAAACCCTTAATAACGAATACATCGGAAGAATTTATCAAATGTCGTCTTGACAATTTTTCAATGAATTTTATACAGATCTACTGAACTAGACGTTCTAGATATCTACTTATCTAAACATTTCTACTAGATCAAATCTACTGAACTAGGCTTTTCTACAAGATCCGATCTACTGAACTAGACTTTTTTTTACAAAAATAAATCTACTTATCTCAACATTTCTACAAGATCAAATCTACTGAACAAGACTTTCCTTCAAGAACAAGCCTACTAATCTATACTTTTTACAAAATCAGATCTACTGAACTAGACTTTCTACAAAAACAAGTCTACTAATCTAGACTGTTTCTTCAAAACCAAATCTTCTGATCAAGACTTATAATTAACAATATACTTATCTAGACTTTTTATAAGATTAGATCTACTGAACTAGAATTTCTAGAAGGGAACTGCTAATTTGAAGTTTTCAGTAATCTTCTGAAATACTCTTTTTTACAATAAAACATATCTACTAATAAAATCAGAACGTATTTTCTATAAAGAACTTAAACTACTAATCTCATTTCTACAAAAATTAAAATACTGAACTTTAGGTTTTTCAAATGAAATTCTCCGAACAGGATTTGCTAGCTTTGCAAGTCCGAAAGAAATGTCAATTCTTAAATAATTTTACAACATTTTATAAATTCTATTTCCTTTCCATTGAATAATGAAAGTTTTTAAACAGACAGAGAATTTGAATTTCATGTTACACAGCTGGGTTGCCCACAAAGAATGGGCCTTAAATTGCATTATGTTCTTATAATTATTATCTGATTCCAACTGCAGTTGTTACTATTGTAAACCAGCACAGTTTCATTTATTTAGTATTTTGTTAATAAAAAACGGACTCAAAATCCAAGTCAGAGTTTAGATGTCTGTTAGAAAGTTAAATATTTTTGAACTTATTTTATTTAAATTGAATTTTACAATATTTATAAATATTTATATGATATCAGATTGAAATATTTTGAGATATATATATTTCTTCTTCTTCATTTTTTCTTGAGCATACTTCGCTTAATTTTGAAAATAAAAAGAAATGAAATTTTTGGATGTCCTTGTACAAGAAAGAACTATTTTTCCAAACCCTGTATTCTCGGAACAGAAAGTTAAATATAAACCCAAGCCAGAGTTTAGTTGTCCACTAGAACATATAGCGGCATCATCAAGAATTCCGCAGTTTACTTCATCAGAGAAATTTGACACCTCTGCATGGATCGCAAACAGTAACTTTCTCTTAAACTTAATTTGATATGGCTGGAGCCAAGATATCAAATCAAAGAATAGTATGAAAATGAAAATTGCCAAAAAGAGAGCTGCAGCTCTGGGAAATACACGGAATATTAGGGAGAAGCACAAGCAGGTGTAGATTTATCAAAGAGGAACAGAAAACAGATTTATGATCAGATAATAAGAAGATATAACAGCAAGAGAATAAATTCACAGCTCTTATAAAAAAATTGTTAAAATTCAAATTAAAGAATAAATGATAATAAAGATTAGAAAATATTATCAAATGTTAATTGAGCAAACTAACTTGATTTGACTGAATACTACTATATTGTCCCCCCCCCCCTTGCCTCTGCACTAAATATTCCTGTTTTTAGTCACATGAGTATGTAAAACATATGTCACAATACAAAAAAAACTTAATTTTTATATTTACAATCAAACACTAATATTGTTGCTAGACGTGTTTTCTAAAATCACTTAGCTGGCTAAAGTGCACTATGTATTGCATGAACTGCCAAGCTTTCTACTATGTAATAGAAATATACAAACTACAGTTGTTTTTAACCCTTATCAGGCCGGGGTGGGAGTACTTTATTTATCACCTTGAAATTACTTAACACTTAAGAAATAGTAACTCAAAGGATTTTTATAATGCATTGAATAAGGTGCATCCAAATGAAATAGAAGGGAGATACAGCTGACGCAGCCCGCCCCACCATATGATTATACATGCTTTGCAGACGGTACTCCACTTGTATGAAAAATATTCAGAATGGGTTATTGTATAAGTGGTAATTGTACATCAGACAAATATTTCTTACACAAATAATCCATAGTAACCCCATTACCCCTTAGTAAATTGGCACTGGCACCTTAGGTTGGTTAGAATAAGTATATATTAAATCAGTTCTCTCTGGGCGTAATTTGTAAACAAGAATTGATGCAACAATGTTTGTTTAGAATCCAATGAGGTTAAAAGCATTACAATTTGAAAATTTTGATAATTCGAATAATAGTTTCCTACGACCAGAATACTTCATTTATGTAAAAGATGGATCCCATGTCAGGCTTCGACATCCGTCTTGTGTTTACATTACCACCCATAACCAGTAAACTGCAGTACAAAAGATGCATACACCTCTGAAATAACTTTCCTTGCATTATAACCTTGACCAATCTATAATCTATATACTGTTTTATCTTTACATTTATCTTATCATTTGTCAAAAAGAAAACAAACATGATTTTTTTTGCTATGTCCTTAAAAACTTTAGATCATTTGTTTAATTATTTGTCGATTGAACGAATACAGATGGTTTGATTATTCTTCATATTTTTTAATTCTAGTTTATAATGTAAACTTTTCTTTTTTATGTATATTTTTCATCTACAACATGTACCACCTAAATTTATAAAACATTTGAAATCTCTAATCTCTATTGCAGGGGAAGAAAGTTCCAAACTGTGATTTGGCCCAAACATGATACTCAGTGTCAGGTTTGCAACATAAGCACGGTTTGGAACGTTCTCCCCCTGTAATGGGGTTTTAACCTGCTCATTTTGCATTTAAATGTTTTCATCATATATATATAAAATAGTATACAATATGTTTCTTTTAATAATGGCATAATCAAAAATATATAAAGAAGAGCCCTACACTTATCAGTTTATGTGAGTGCCTCACATTTTTAACTATATCAAACCAAATCAAAACACACAGATGTAAATTTTTTTTTAAAGTTGTTAAAAAATTAACAGAAGATCCAGTATAATGAACAGAATTGTAAGCATTGTAGTACCTTTTAAATGTTATAGTTTAAGTCATCTGCTAGAGTATATTTTAAAAAGAATAAAAGGCTGTTTGTTCTTCTGCTAATATTGTTGTTATGCATGAATAAATGATGATTGTAACCAATCAGTTGATTTATTATAATACAGCTTCTCTTTTATACTAGAAATTCAAGGCGCTTTGCGCCCTTCTTTCTAGCCTTAGAGGGCGCTTCGCGCCCATCTTCTAAATTAGTTTTGAACATGTTCTCTTTGTGTACATCGTAAAACAAAACAAAAATAATTCGCGGATTTTCACAAAAAATTTCGCGGATTTTCAAAATTTTAAAAAATTTAATGACGATCGAATTTTGATGGAGACAAATATTTGAAATTTTGATCATTCATAAACCTTCTCTGGGGTCCCTAGATGTCCCACAAAAAATTTGGGCCCAATCGGTTCAGCCGTTTTGACGTTTATTGGATACAGACAGACAAACAGACAAACAGACAAGCCAAATTTATATATAGATTAATAGTTTATTAAATCGTTAAAAGGACTAAATTCTGATTTAGGTGAACCCAACATACAATTTTTTTTAAAAATGTTTTGATGCCAAATTATTTCAAATAATGAATTGATTAATAACCTCTTCAAATTTTAGAAAAAAAATGAAATTAATAATTGGAATATCTACTTTATTTTATGCATTATACAGTTTACAAAGATTGTGTGAATGGCGGTATTTTAGATATGCTCATATCTTATCATTATCTTCCTCCCGGGTCAGCCCAGCATCTTTAGCAAGACCATAGAACATACTATCATTGTTCTTCAATAGGGTATCTGGTGAATCATACTCAACAAGTTCCCCTTTGTCTAGAACCATGATTTTATCATAGTCAAGTATGGTATTTATTCTGTGAGCTATCGTCAATACAGTGCAATCAGCAAACTCTGTTCTAATGGTTTTCTGGATTAGATCATCAGTTTCTAAATCAACAGCAGCTGTAGCTTCATCAAGGATAAGAACTTTAGTCTTCCGTAGAAGGGCTCTGGCTAAGCATACAAGCTGACGTTGCCCGACACTCAGGTTTTCTCCACCTTCACTTACTTCAAAGAGAAGACCTTTATCAAGCTCTTTAACAAACTTTTCCAGGTTGGATAACGACAAAGCATTCCAGATATCAAAGTCACTATAACTATTGAAAGGATCAAGATTCATTCTTAGGGTTCCAGAAAACAATACTGGATCTTGAGGTATGATAGTCAGTTTTCTCCTAAGGTCATGCAGCCCTATTTTGGAAATATCCAAATCATCAATTTCAATGCTTCCAATTGCAGTTTCTACTATTCTAAAGAGTGCCACTGTTAAAGATGACTTTCCTGCACCTGTTCTCCCAACAATACCAATTTTCTGACCACCTTCCATTCTGCAATTAATGCCATGAATAACCAGATCAAGACCATCTCTATAACGGATCCCTACATTCTTTAGTGTAACATCTCCTCTCTGGGGCCAATTGCTTTCTGGTCTCTTCTGATCAATCCATGGAGCCTCTAGGGGAAGCTCAGCATACTCCATTATTCTCTCAACTCCAACAATATTTGTCTCCACATCTGCAGTCATTCTAACCAACCAGTTGAGCACCTGTGTTATGGACAAGGAGTAGCTAATAACAAATCCCACATCTCCTTGGTTAATTGTTCCTTGTTGTAAAATGCAGAACATTGCAGATCCAAAGGTAATGAAGTTTCCAATTCCTTCAAGTCGAACAGCAATCCAACGATTGGCAATAACGCTAGGGAAGTAACTGACTTGGTTATAGTCTACCTTAGAATCTGATTGACTTATAAACTCTTTTTGTCTACCAAATGCTCTAATTGTTGGAGCACCAGTAATAGTTTCCCCAAAATGTGAATAAATTGGTGATCTTGATACAGATTCTAATCTCTTCAACTGTCTTGAGCTGTTGACATATAACGTTTGGATAATGACAAAAATTATAGTTGCTGGAATAAAAACTATGATGATCAGAGGAATGATCATTAGAATGGAAATCATGGTTGCAAAGAAGTTAGCAAAGGTACCCAACCATGATCTCATGTTTTGAGGGAGTGTGTTGTCACAAACATCAACATCCTTGGCAAATCTATTAACAATTCTGCCCAGGGGAGTAGTGTCAAAAAATGACATTGGACTCTTCATTATTCTTAGGAGCATATTACGATGCAATATCTTAGAAGCATTTAGTGAAGTTAAGCCAAATATCATCATAAGAAAAAGTGTTGCTATTGCTTGCAGTGCTCCAATAGCGCCATAGATACTGAGGTAAAACTCTTTCCCTTTTTCAAACTTATCCTGAGACCAAAGGTTTAGCCAATAATTGCCAAAGATGCTAGAGCCTGTAAATAGTGCTTGAAAAAAAACACAGGCTAGTGTACCACCAAGTCCAATTGCTTTGAAATAGTAAAAGTAAACCTTTGATTTCACACTTCCAGTTTCAACAGCCTCCTTCTCAATGAGTTTTGTCCCGGATGAAGACACTGGCTTCTTTTCTCCTACAGGCTGTTTCAAGTTTTCTCCATCATCTTTTTTTAAGCTTGGAGAATCTGATTCAGATCCATAGTTTGAAACACTGTCTTTTCTAGAAACTTGTGACTGTAATTCTTTTACACCCATTGTATTCTTTAATTGTTCTTTTACTTCATCAGCCACCTCACTGTTAGCATCATCATTCATATATTCTATCAAAAATTTGGCAAAGTCACCATTCTTCTGTAACAGGTCTTCATATGATCCTTGTTCAGTAACCTTTCCATCTGTTAGGACAATAATGTGATCTGTATGGGGTAAAAATGTTATTCCATGAGTAACCAGAACTCTAGTTGTGTTCTTTAAGCACCCATTTGGACCAACAACATGCTCAAAGATATGCTTACCAACATGGGAATCAACTGCAGAAAGTGGGTCATCAAGTAGATATAAATCTGCTTTACTGTAAACTGCTCTGGCAAGGCTTACTCTTTGCTTCTGTCCGCCTGACAGATTTATCCCCTTTTCTCCTATTTCAGTTTTATCTCCAGCTGGAAGAATTTCCAGATCAGTTGTTAATGCACAATCTTCAATCACACTTTGGTATCTTTCCTCATCATTGGCTTCACAAAATGTTATGTTTTCTTTCAGAGTACTATTCTGAATCCAGGCTTGTTGGGGAACATAAGCAATCTTTCCAACAGTGTTTACACTTCCTTCAATTTTATGAAGTTCGCCTAGAATTGCTGAAAGTAGAGAAGATTTTCCTGATCCAACTGTTCCAACAACTGCAGTTAAAGCCCCTTTTGGAATGTCAAATGTAATGTTTCTAAGAACCTCTGGGGTTTCTGGGTCCCACTTAAAAGTGCCATTTTTAATTGTGACTGCTGAATCACTCTCCTCATGTTGAACTGCAAATGGATCTAGCTCATCATTGTTCATGAACTTGTTAATACGCTTCAAGGAGACATTGCACTGAATTAGGAAAACCATCATCATGGGCAGCATAGCTAGAGGCATTCTCATTATATTCAGGTAAGAGAGTGTGACAAAAGCTGCTTGTGCAGTCAATGTATTTCCAACTAAAACATAGTATGCAAATGCCCCAAGACCTACAACAAAGGGAGCAACAGTCCAGAAGAGAGACATTACTGCATTTAGATATGCGGCTTTCTTCTGAACAGCTATTTCTTTCCCTCTGGTTTCTAGAACTTGTGCAATGAATGATTCTTCCCATGCATACAGCTTTAGCACTTTCATTCCACTTAATATTTCATTCATTGCCTTGATTCTGTGATCTTTTAGTTTCATTTGTTGAAGTTGGTACTTCCTAATAAATCTACCCAATAAGAAGTTTGCTGGCATGGTAATAACTAGTAATCCCATACCAACAAATGTTGCTTCTTGCAACTCAACATACATAAAATATCCAGAGATACAAATCTGAAGAGGAGCAGACCACAGCATGTTTAGGTATGGCAGAACATCCATGAACCTTTGTACATCCACTGACATGAGATTAACAATCTCTCCAACAGAACTCTCTTTTTTTGATGATTGTGACACTTTTAAAGACTTTTTGTAGATTGCTGCAATTAAAGTTGTTCTCATCTTAAGGGCAATCAGCATTACCATTTGAAAGTAACTATTTAAAAACAGACTTTGAAGAAGGACTGTGAAAAATAATAAAATTCCATAAAAGTATCCTTTCCAAGCTTCTTGTTCCTCTTCAGTGCCATGAGAATCTGCAAAACTAATCATCATTTTCATAATAGTGGGAGTAGATAAACTCAACATATCAGAGATAAGTTTCAAAACAGAACTTGTGAAAAAAGACCATCCAAAAGTTTTCACTAATGCTGGCAGAACAGATCTACTGGACTTGAGAACTGTCATTGATTCGGATTCTTTTGTTGTAAACTTTGGTTGAGCAAAAATTTCACTCTTGGTAAGATAGTGCTTTTCAAAATCTTTGGTAACAACTTCTGATCTGAAGCTTGGTAAAAGGTCCCAGAGTAAATCTGGAGTAAGAGGGTTTTTATATCCTTTGATTATGAGTGGAGTACACCAGGAAAAGATCAGTTTGTTGAAGAATGATGCAGAATACTGAGGACAAGGGTTTTCAACTTTCTTATAGTCTGGATCAGAAATTGAATCTGCCCAGCAGTTTAGAAAGAACATGAATACTGATCCAACTAGAACTGAAAAGGCCAGCAGGATTTTACCCATCTCTTCATCTGATTTGTCATCTTGGAAGCGTAAGAGCTCTGATCTGAAGAGAATCCCTTTACAGAGAGAATCCACAAAAAAGGTTAAAAACAGTGCCCCCGAAGTTGAACAACCTTGCCTGAAACAAATCATATTGTTATTTTTATGATGCCTATCTAGAAAAAATAAATGAATAGATTGCACATTTTACCTATGACAGTATGCTAGATAGAATAGAGATATTAAATATGCTGATGCTTCTACTAGGTTTCTTACAATCTCAGGGTCTGAGCTTGTTACTGTTCTTGTATCCTCCTGAACATAGTTCAAATCAGCTGTGCTAAGCTTCAAGCTGGACACTTTTTACAAAGGTCAAAACAAATTTTAGAAAATGAATTTGTCGTTTTTTTAAGCTGTTTGAAGTCTGCTAATACTTTGGTCGGCATAATTGTCATTTAAGCTGACAAAGGTTGTATAAGTTTAATTTTTTGATTGGAAACAATGCTGAGATCTTCTAATTTAAGACTGTAGGACTGCCATCATCACTGTTCACTGCTCAGAGCAGAATAACAGTTAAAAATCTTTTGCTATGCTCTTCTTTCCTCTTCTTCTATATAATAAAACAAGACATTCATATATCTATATATATATGTTGCCTATAGCTCGCCAAACGGCTGGACCAAATGGGCTGAAATTTTTTGTGGACACTCATGGGTGCCCGGTGGGTGTTAAAGGCTTAAAACATTTGAAATTTTTTTTCATTTCTTTTTTTTTTAAATTTTCTTTTCCACAGGCAACACTGGGCACTTCAGCTAGTATACAATATACATCTTACTTTTCTGTAAAATTTATTAACTATATATTACCTTCAAATAGATTTGAATACTACAACAGACAATAAGCAGAAAGGTAACAATAACCTAAAAATTGATGGTTACAGTAAAATCTTTAAAAAAATATAATTGGTTGTATTGAAAAGAAGTGCACAGATAAAATTAGACCCTGAACTGTCAAAATTAATTCTAAAGAAGGAGTTAAACTCAGTTTATGAACATACTATACCTTAACTCTTTTGCACTTAAACATTAATTTTACTTAAAGTGCACCTGGAGGAAGAAAGCTATGAATTATTCAGATGCAAAAAATATTAGAAAAGTCTGTTAAAAATGGGGGAAAGAAAGGAATGCAGTGAAAATGGGAAATATATATTGTAAAATTTAAATCTTTATGGATACAGGTTAAATAATGGCATACTTTACTGATTAAGATTGAGATCCGTAAACATTATATGCATCCACAACATTAGGATTGACATTTACATGAAGAGATTAAAAATATTATGTTTGTTTTATTTGATCTTAAAATTTTTGAGGATTTATTTTTGGCTTTTCAGGCTAAAATTTCTCAGCAATTTTCTTCATCAAACTAGTCCTAAATTCATCAGTACTTATTTTTTGCAGCTTAGTTTCAGATTTAGTGGTGTCTTTATATAGATTAAGTTTTGGAATGTCTTAGGTTCAGTATTGAAATATACTAATTAAAGGAATATAATAGATTTTCATGCTAATATCTTGATACACTTAGTAAGCCATTTTTCAATTTGAGAGACATGATAAGACATGATATGAAATTTTAAGAGCCATGAAAATAATGGTAAAAGGATAAGAAAGATTAAACAAAAAGGAAGATTTGAATATGAAGGAATAATGGGAGAATATTGTGGTTAATGGTTTACGACAATATAAGGTTTAATATTAATGTAAATATTGTTACCTTCAAACAGCTGAGAACTGTAAAAGGTATCCGGGGAATTGAGTTTCTCCATGTCTCCAAAATCTATAAAATTTATAAATCATTAGTTTTGAGAACCTGCATTGAACCAATTTAAGGAATCTGTGTAAAACTTCCATTTCATTATAAAACAGTTAGAGTTGTTTTACGCTGGATTATAAAGTAGATACTTCCACTTCCACTTCCACTGAAAACTTTGGTTCATCTGAAGTGCCAGACTGACTTATCTGCTGCTAGAGTAAGCAATACAGTACACATGCAAGACTATAGACACAGCAAGACAGGACAGGACACCAAATGAATCATCTGTTTCTAGTAAGAACAATGTACTTTAGAACCCAACTAAAAAATGCATAGAATAAAATTAAAAATATTTGAAGTATGTTTAAAATTTAAATATGGAGTCTGCTAGAAACATTCTTCTCCTATTAAAATGTTTAAGGAGATCCTCCTAATATTCACTTTATTATCCTTTACTGTAATAAAACCTGCCAAATATGGAAATTTGACAGGGGTATATTTTCAAGAATTACACCCCCCCCCCCTCTCCAAGTATTTTGATGATCTGGGAGAAAAAATATAACATTTGAAATTGTATGGAAAGTTTTATAATCCTTTTTGTTACTTTAAAAATCATTTGTTATCTCCAATTAAGCAAATAACACCCCAAAACAAATTACAAATATCTATAGGGAAAAATATATTCCAAAAGGGGATGGGAGGGAATGAATGATTTTTCAAGAAAATAAACACCACTAAAATTCTATTTTATACTTCAGAGAATGGAGGAGGAAAATGGTTAAATTTTAATTTAAAACCAGAACATTATTTTCTCTCTTAGGACTATGGACACCCAATCTATATTAGACAAAAATAATGAAAGGGTTTGGTAATCATTACTTATAGGTTCTTTATGATAGGTTAGCCATATCATTATCTTAAAACTTTTTTTGTGTTTGTTATAAATAATTAGGTCAATCTTATTAATTGTTTAATGGTTCTTTCACTTCCTTAACCAATCAAAACTAATCACTTTGGATTAAATGAATTTTTATTACTTCTCAAATATGCTCATTTTGTCCCAATCAGCAAAAAACTGCGGAATGAATGTTTTGTTAATTATTCTGATTTCTTTGCCTCAATTTTGCTTTCTGTGCTTGCATAAAGTTAGAAGTTTACATAAACATTTTAATTAGGATAAGGATTAGTCTTTCTCTAGTAAGCAAACAGTTAAAAATTATAGGTCTAATTTTATCCGGTTATTGTACACTTTAAATTAATACATCTACTAAGTCTAGAAAGGAGGGCGCGAAGCACCTTGAATTTCTAGTTTAAATAGATATAGGTATATATAGTTGTGCTATAATGGAGTTTGGCAATGGGCATCGTTTTAAAAAGTTTTTTTATGATTTTAACATCAAAGAATTAATTTGTTTGTTGTCTATCAAAGTAAAGTGTGACAGAAAAGTAAAAGGAATTCTGTTGACCTAGTATTATTATTTTCCTCTTTATAAGTTGCATCCAAAATTCACAAATGTTTCCTCTCAACCTATATTTGAGCTCAAATGGGAAACATGTTGGCCTGATTATTTTGACAAAGTGTTGAATTCTCTCAATTTAATTTGTTTATGCTTCTGCTGTATAAATCCGCAATTCTCTTTTATGGAGAAACCGCAATTTAAAATGAAAAATTTTCGGAAGTAAAAACAAGGATATTTTTAGCATTTTTTCTCCAAACCAAGGTTTAATGCTTTCGTTGTTAATTGGGCATGCTAAGTGAAAAAAGAAATTCACTCGTCAGTCCTTTTAAGTTTTATTCTTGAGTTCAGTTTTATACGGGCTTTGTCTATTTTTTTTTATAATTATTTAAACCAAATGCAAAAAAAAGAAGTATTTGCCAAAAACTCAAAATTTCTAATTTATATATCTTGGCAACCTGATGGTGCAAACCTTTGATTTTTCAAACTGAGGTTATTTTATTTAATAAAAGTAATAAATTGAAATATTTTAGATCACAGAAATCAGGTTGCAAAGATATAGGGGTTAGAAAATTTGAGTGTGTGGGAATGACTCGATATGGGAAGTCGATAGACAAGGAACAGGGTGCATAGAGTTCATTTTTTATAGAATCCCAACAAATATCCAGGTTATAAAAGAATTCAGACATTTTTAATGATTGACTTTAAGCTTAAATTGTATGTATTTAACGATAAAAGTTTTGTCACTAAAAGTCTTATTTGTTGAATTTTTGCTAAATCACCCTATATAATTCTTTAATTAAAATGGAGAACTCGAATTAGAAAATGTAATACCTCTAAAAATGAGAAGAAAAGTAAGACGACAACTGGCAAGTATCCTGAAATAAAAATTACAATGATTTTTTAAAAGTTTTTTTGATGCTAAATAAGTAAAAGATATTGGATTCCAGTTACTGAACTACACAATCTAGATACTACTAGATTCTAGTTAGATACTAGTTCAAACCTAATTTTTACTATATACTAGATACTAGGTACTATAGATACTAGATACTAGATACTAGACACTAGATACTAGATATAAAATTCAGTGACGGACCAAACCTCTGTAGAGTAAAAAAGTTGATGTTAGTTCCACATTATACTAGATACTTGATACTAGATACTAGATACTTGATACTAGATACCAGATACTTGATACTAGATACTAGATACCATGGGTACTAGATACCATGGGTACTAGATACCATGGGTACTAGATACCATGGGTACTAGATACCATGGGTACTAGATATATGTATAGATACTAGATACACTGGATAATACATACTAGATACTAGATCGACACTAGATACTAGATACTCACCCCGGACTAACCAGAGTGAGCATTCGGTTTCTTCTATTTTAAATCAAACGTGTTTTGGTCTATAATTCAACCATCTTTTACCTTACGGATTTGTTTATTCCATGCTTTTTCCTTCAAAATACATATGCCGACAGAAAAGTATTTTAGAAAAAAGGCTAAAAAATTGTGTTTAATGGGTCAAATTGTTATCTAAAGTCACAGCTTTCTGGAATATTGACAGAACCGTTAAATCAACGTGTACTATAAATAATAAATATTAGATACTAGATACTGGATCAAGGATACTGGATACTAACCTATCACTGTATTCTGGAAGCACTGTGTAAAGTTAGGAGTATCAGTATACCATATTGTATCAATATCCCAGAATTCTCCCCCACACCATTCAGTAAAATTCATCTTCTCCTACCTAAATCATATATACTCAATACTCATCTATTTCACAAATGATAAATAATGATAAATTGAATATTTCTAAGAATATTTATGAAAATTACAATGAGAACCATACAAAGATAGATGAAGGAAAATAATTTTTTATATTTTCTAGAATTTAAAAAATGGGAAAATAGTACCTCTGAGCGGTGTGATGTTGAGAAGATAACTGAACTATATTTGTTATCATCTTAAACAAATATATTATCCAACTAAATATTAACAATTATGTGTCATAAGATTTTCATTTCAAAAGATGAAATTGTACGTATTCTATAGAGTCCGCCATGTCGTCATTGTTTAATCGTTTCACATTTTCCGTCGCAACTTTTCTTTTTTAAACTTTGCATCAACAATCTTTTTTGTAATAATTTGAAAACTATGCTTTATTCTTATCTGACTGAGTTTACCTAATTTCTAAACCCTATCCCTGCTGGGGTACTTGAAATGCAGGATACGATGGGGGGGGGTCAATTTGTTCAACCCCCCCCCCCCTCTAAATCCCCATGTTTGATGTCCAAATATTGCAAATTATACATCATTACAAAGCTCTTATTCTCTACTTTTGGAACTGCTAAAAAATTTGAAAATTTGTGAACAGTCAAAAAAATATTGCAATATCCAGTTATATAGAAAAAATGTTTACAAAATAAATTTCAAAAAATAATTAAAGGGACAGACCGGCTATGTAAGGTAGTTAAACTGAGTATGCACAGAAGTGTTGTGGACTAATTCTTTAAGATTCATTTGAGACATATAAAAAGTTTCCACAATGTATAATTTCTGAGTTTGAGCGCAAAGTCGACGTTCAAAATCATGAATTTGGGTGGGTACGTTTCAGAATCGTTTTTTTATATTATTAAATAACGACGGCGAAAAATATATTAAAAATTCTAAAGTAGGAACATATATCTCAAAAGAAATTTGTCAATAAATCGAAGTTAGAATAAATTATTTTCTTTTTCATCATTATATTGAATTTCTTATTTTCTATGAATTTGTTCGTAGATTTCTTCAAATTCTTCAAATGTCGTCTTTTTAATAAAAATTTTAGATGAAAAGAGTTAATTTTTATTTTCTCAACCTGTACCTAAACAACTAATTAGCTAACAGCAAAATTTTTTTTACATTTTTTGTCGTCTTTATTTAATAATTTCAAAAAAAATTAAATTCTGAGAACGTATTTACCCAAAAGTACGATTTTGAACGTCGTCAAACTCAGGATTTGCAGATCTTTAACAAGTTTAATATGTCTCAAATGAACTCTAAAGAATTCTTAGACCCATACTTTTTGAGTTTATATGTTAACTATTTGTGTTGAATACAAAGAGAATAGAATATATATTAGAGGGGATATTGGTCAATTATGAAACCAGCCTATTTCATAATTTGGTTTTCTTTTAATATTAATTTTAGTTTTTCTATAAAATGATGTTCCAGGGCCCAAAAGTTTATATAGCACAAACGTGAAGTACAGCTGCAGTTTCGAAACAGTACAACAAAATGGCTGTTTTACACTTTTTCCTTGTAAATTCCCCTCTAGTATATATTCTATTCTCTTGGTTGAATATATAGAAATAAATAATCAGATATAAATTTTAAAGAGGTTTAGTGATTTTCTGAACGTATAAATAAATATTATCTAACCTGCAAATTATTATAAATAATTTAGTGTAGAACGTTCTAGAACCTTTAAACATTTTGAGACTTCTGTAAAACTAGAAAGTTCCATGATATTAAAAAATCTCTTCATATTAATATTTAAGGATTCACTCTAACAAATTTTCATTCTGGCTGTCGTTCATTCTATAAAAATAAGTTAAACTTTTAAAAAGTTTGAAGTGAAGTTCAGGGTCCAACTCAGAGACGAACTTTGGTAGATCGTGGGCCCTGGAGTAAGCAGAAATGAGATACATGTAGCTAAAATCTTGTCAACATAGTTTAGTTCGGTAGCATCAAATGGTTCTGGTTTTAAGATTTCCAAAATGTGGTCTGCCGTTTTTGTATTTAAGAGTTAACTGAGATATTGAGAAATTTGTCTTAAATTCAAAGTATAAAATATTAACAAGGTTATTCAAATCTTAGTATCTACGACAATTTTAATGAAATAAATTTTACAAAATATTAAAGATTTACAATGTTTTTCTTTACTCCTTTGACAACTATTAACTTTGCGAAAAGGATTCAATGTCTAACGTACTGCAGGATACCCAAGCCAAAAAAATTACATCATTAACCTTTTCTATGATATATCCATGATGTCGTCTTTTCAAGATTTAGGGGGGTTCGTTCACATTAACCCTGAGGCAGAAGCCCAAAGGAGTTACGCATATGCCGCGTCGAATTACAAGAGAGAGAGAGAGAGGGCATATTGCACTTATTTTTTTTGGGGCTTATTGTGAAATAAAAACCCCTAAACCTTAAAAAGATGACATCTAGTGAAAATGCAGTCTCATCCAGATTTTATGTAGTTTATAGAATTTTACAATCACAAGCCTATCAGGCTTTTATTTCAACTTATATTTTTTACTCGATCTCTTCTCTTCGATCACTGATCAGACAATAATAAAAAATTGGGGGATTTACAATTTTTGATTATGGATTTTCCTTTATTAAAAATAAAATTTGTGTTAGTAAATTTTTTGTAATTCTGAGCAACCATAAACTTTCCTTGGGGTCATGTGAGGTCCCACAACAAGTTTGGGGTCGATCGTTTTGACGTTTATCAGTTACAAAAACAAACAGACAAAAGCGAAATATATACATAAAAGTAAAAAACATTTATGTATATTCATTCATCCTTCGCTTATTTTTTGAAGAAAAGAATTGAGTCTATGCCACTCACTCAAATTTTCTATATTTTTGTAACCTAATGGTTTGATTGAACCTTTCGGGCTTTAACGTTTTAAACTTAGTTTATTTTATCTGACAGAATTCACATTGTGAAATATCTAAGGTCTGCAACATTTGCAGAGAAATAGGTATTAAAACAACCTGAGTTTGTGTTAAAAGCGATCAGTTTCTTAATAAGATTATAAAATTGGAATATAAGATGAGGAAATATCAGCATCCTGAGCTCCTGCTCTTAAAATTTAGAAGGTTGGGTTGGGTTAACTCGTTTTACTCCATGCTGAACTCTAAAGAATTCTTAGACCCATACTTTTTGAGTTTATATGTTAACTATTTGTGTTGAATACAAAGAGAATAGAATATATATTAGAGGGGAATTTAGAGAATCTCTCGGTATGAATTTTTTTCAGTCCCTTTCAGCCTGAAAGGGAGTTCAAAGTGTACAAATCATATAAATGTTCACAAATTATATGCAGTAGAGTACATTAATACAGTATGTTCTCTAGCACATAATCCAGACTGGACAAATGCCAGGCTCGAATATATTTAGAAGACGACATTCTATAAGTTCATTGACGCCAAGAGGATACATATTTTTACAATTAAGATACATTAGTACCCTTTTCAATACAAATTTGTGTCATTTTATAACGTAAATGTTTACAAAATTCTGTTTTGTTTACTATTACCATCAGTGTAGTTGTCTTGTACTATATACATGTAATTGGTTTCTTTCTTTGTGATTATATAAATACTAGGCTATCTTCTATTTTAATTGTGAACATGTTCTCTTTGTGTACATTGTAAAACAAAACAAAAAAAGTTCGCGGATTTTAACTAAAAATTTAGTGGATTTTCAAAAAATTAAAATGTCGTCTTCATATTTCTGATATTCTCTCAGCCTAGTGTTTGTTCTGTCTGGATGATGTGTAGACTATCCATTTCAATTTCGAATTTTTTAAAGCTGTTAAATAAACTTTATAAAATGAATTAGGTGAATAAAAAACATCATTTGATTTATAGTTATAACGGAAAATCATCGTTTGTAAAGTGAAAGGCATAGAGTCTATGTGAAATGATCATTGGTCAATTATGAAACCAGCCTATTTCATAATTTGGTTTT